AACAGTAACATCAAAAGTCGTGTCAAATATTCCTTCAGATGTTAATTTTAATTAATCTATTTCAAAAGCCGAGCTTTCAAATTAGGTTTCAGACAAATGCTACAGATCTAGTGTCAATAATACTTGTTCGTGTAAATCCAATTAGTTTCGTGCCATTTCTATTTTCGTGAAAGCCAGACTTGCTTTGATATTCATATTTCATAAAATCCCTTCTTATAATCTCTCTTTATTGTGTGAAGTTAGGGCAATCCAACCCGACACCCCTTGCCCGGCAGTCGCACTTGTGGCCTCTTGGCTAACGAGGCAGTTGCGATCGGAAGTTCTGTCGGAAGACTTTCACTGCTGAATATAGGCTTCCCCCTTAGTCCTCCGACCAAGGAGGAAGGCTACATTCAGCAGATAAAAGCGGAGGCTTTTAAAAAGTCACTGGATGCAAGTGGTGGGTGGTTGAAGTAGCCCTTGCATTTGATGACTCTACGTGACTCTAAGGGAGCGCTTAAGTATAGTTCTGTCTCTATAAATTCTTCGTAAAATGACAGAGATGTAACGATATAACTTAAAATTGAGTAGCCTTTCGGGCGTTTGTTTAGCAGTGGACGTCTTCCAGCTGATGATGATGTTGATGAAGCTTATGTAATGAAGAGTGATGTGAGAATTAAAAATAAATACGTACTGTTCTCCTTGCAGGCTGGTGGCTGGCCAGCCCACTTGCCATCCGCCTGACAACTCCTGCTCTGCAGGCCGACCACGTGGTACCCGTGAGGGCAGGAGTACACTGCCCTGGTGGTGATACACATTCAATTAATCATTAATTTGTTTTTATGTCGTACTGGCCCGGAGGTTTACGACGCCTACTTCTCATGAATGAGGGTGCCGGTTCGAAACCTACCAACGGCAAGTACCAATGTGACTTTTTCCGAGTTATATGTACTTTCTAAGATTATTCAGACATCACTGACAAACGGTGAAGGAAAAACATCGTGCGGAAGCCTGGGCTTTCTAATTACAAGTTTGAATTCGCCAACCTGTATTGAGTAAGCGTGGTGATTAATGCTTAAACCTTCTCCATGTGAGAAGCGGCTTTGCTCAGCAGTGGGCATTTATAGGCTGATGGTGATTATGATGATGATTGACGATGGACTTTCTTGCTCGTAATTCACGCTTTGGAATGAGCAAATAACTTCACTCAACAAGGTGATTTTGAGCAGCGTGTTGAACATTGAAATCATCAATGTAAACAGAATTGAATTAAAAGCTAAGCGAGAAAATATTTTCAATTAATTTGAAAGTGAGCATATCTAATATAAAGCAATCAGTTCAACCCAAGGAATTTTAGATAACCGCAACCCAAGAGGAGTTAGTGCGTTTCTAGCCTTTTGGGTTGGGGCATTTCGGGTTACCAAAATCAATAGAAGATGTAAAAAACATACTTGTCGCCGAACAGTCGTCCTGTAAGGGTGACCTTCCCAATTTCAGGCTGCGTCAGTTCAGGACACTCGCGGTCTGAAACAAATAGAAAGACAGATTAGTCTACTAAGCCAAGGATAGACTAGGGCACAAAATGTCCTTCGACACGTGTCGCCAGCGACGTTGGGTGGAGTAGCACGACGTTGCCGGACTTTGGTCGACATGTCTGGCAATATCAACGTCGCTGTGGGCACGAGCCGAGCGTTGTCGCTTTAAATTATGTCGTGCGAAATCGCTAGGCTTCGCTTATATCGCTGACACATGTCGTGTGACACTTGTCACTTATTTTTTAAGGCTTGAAAATCATCGAATGACTTCTCCCGCCTGGGTGAGGCGGGAGGGAGTGTCAGACTCTTACTGACTAAAAACCACCCCGTTCCTACTCATGCACTTCGAGCCGGAGCTCCGGTAACCCGTTAGGTTTTCCGCGGCTCCGTATCGACATCAGCCCTATTGGGCCCCAGCCATCAGACGGCTCTTTGAGGTGCGCCCGGAACGCGACGCACCGTACGCTCGGGTCTGGTTCTAGTCGGGCGGCGGGCCACTCATGCTCGCCGTCCGCAGGCCTGAGCTTACGATGGCCGGAGATCGTCCCGCGATCTGTCCCGCGACGGCTGGGTTGTGAGTAGGCAGCGCTCCGCTGCCTCATGCGCCCCGCCTCCTCCTTAGCTAGCATGATTGCTTCGGAAAAGGAGGAGCCGGCATCCCAGTCCCCCTCGCTTCGTATCATGACCCGCACCTCTAACCGAGAGGTTTGTTCCACTGATTCCTTGGCTCGAACATTGATTTTTGTGAGATTTCATGGTATCTATTGAAGTTTTAAGTATTCCGTGGCAAGGGTGGTCCTTAATCTATTTCTTTGTAAAAACTCACACAATGTAGCTCATCATTTTAAAAATACTACGAAATCTTTTGTTTCAATGAAAATGAAAGGAAAACAATACAAATAATACAATAGAACAGAGATACGAAACTCAATAGGTACTTATATCTAAAAAACATTTGGTTTCACTCAATCACTTTCAACCTTATAACTAAACAGATAAGGCTGAATATAATAAAAGAAAATTCTCTAAACACCAGCATATTAATGTCCCCCATTTCATCAAAATCATTTAAGCAATTATGAACTCTATCACTCATCACACCAAGGTAGAAAATGCCTTGTAAAGAATAGGCTAGCTTGATTTGCTTGTTGATATTATGTTCCTGTAATACGTGGGATAACCAACAGCTGTGTGTTTATATTTGTATATACTAATTCATTACAATTATTTACTCTCGTCTCGGCAAACTCAGGGATAATTTGTATTCGTTAATTCGCTCGGCTTTGCTTCACTGTTTGATTACTAATTAATTAATTTTCGGAAAAAGCTGCGCGGTTTCCAAAGTTGTTGTGTTGGCATCAACAACTTGGGTCTGTTTGTTTTTTTTTTAACCGACTTCTATATTCGAATATTTTTTTTTTTCATGTAAACTACGTTTAAAAAAACCGACTTCTATCACCTCTTTTTTTGTCTGAGTACGTCTTTTTTTATCGACAGTAGAAAGAAGTTCACGATTTGACCTGTATGTATGTATGTATGTGTGTTTGTGCGCAAATATCTCGCGATTGCCAGAACCGATTTTGACGCGATTTTCACTAAAGTGTTTGTTACACTTAGGAGAAGGTTTTAGCACATTAATTAACCGACTTCGGAAAAAGGGGGGGGATTAAAACCGTGTATTAGACGTAGTTTATAAAAAGGAATTATTACTATATTTAAATTCATCGACTCCTGAAAATATCTGAATAGTTAAGTGGATAATCCTAATAAGGATCGGAAGGAATCTAGGAAGGTCGCAAGTGCGACAGCCGGGCAAGGAGTATCAGGTTCGATTCCCGGGTCGGACAAAGTATTTTTACAAAAATCTCAGTAGTAGCACGGAGTCTGGAATTGTGCCCGGTATATGGCAATAGGTTCACCCCCTATTACATGGGACTCATAACATAAATAGTGAAAGTGGCATTAAGTGCCGTAATGTGCACCTCTGCCTAGCCCTTCAGGGATAAAAGGCGTGATGTTATGTTATGTTATGTTATGTTATTATGTGAATATTATCAACTATGACAGAAATCGATGCAAACCCATAATTTACAAGGTATATACTACAGTCCCTTATGCTAAAATCGAAGGTCTATAGTATTGTAATCAGTTCTCGATTGTAAGCGAAAACAATAGGATGATTACAACACCGGATCCCGGCCCGGCCGACTAATGGATGCCTCCCAATGTGTTTGTTCAGTAAATTGTCAGCTTTACTTCTAATCTAGATCAAATTAAAAGGATAAATGGATCTGAAAGAATTTGGAATGTAAAATGGATTCTATGTTTTTGTGCTTAGAGTCAGTTTTTGGAATTTGATGCTGGATTTTCGGAATAAGCAAGATGGATTTGTTTTACAAAGTTTTTGGCTATGAGTGGTTCTACTGTTAATGTAGTCTAGATATCTAGGGACTTATGTATCTAGGTTGAGCGTGGGTGGTACTTAATATTCCATTTATTCCTTTATTATGGCGCAAAATTAATATTATCTGTTTTTCAGGCGATTCCAGCTAACAGAAGTCGCCAGATGAATAAAAATATATACTATTGTTTTCGTCCTCAATATTCAAAATCTTGATCTTGTTTAAAACTGAGTTGGAGAGACTGGAAGTAGCGTTAATAATAATTCCTGGTGGAATTATTTGCCAGAATCTGTCTTTCTCAAGGGTTATAACCTGAATGTCTTCCAGGCCCGAGTGAATAGGTTGCTTATGGGGTGACGTGCTCCATCGTAGACCGCATCATCGCTTACCACCAGGCGAGATAGTAGACAAACGTCGGCCAATTAACCATTCGTGTGTCTAAACGTGGATCCACGCGAGACACAATGTATTTTGTATTGTGTCTCATACCGGTGCATTCTAGCGGTAAAATTATAAAAATTTCAATGTAACAATTTTGAAGTCGTCGAGTACCGTCATTATAGACACAATTATAGAACAATATGTTGCGGTCACCGGTGACCGCTTGGTGTTTGACAGTTTAAGATCAATTATTTAAATTTTTTGTGTATGTTATTCCGGGGGTTATATTGGACCTCCGGTAACCTCACTTATTCGACGAAACACGACGCAAGAGTTGTTTCACGTCGGTTTTCTGTGAGGCCGTGGTATCACACCGATTCAGCTGACCCAATCGTGTCATTGTTCTACCATGTTATAACACCCAATTACTCGAAACCATCTGACATCAACAACACAAATAAAAAAGTGTAGCAAAGTCCAATAGAGAAGTACTCTAGCATTTTTTGCTGAGTGTAAGCAAATGAAATGAAGTGAGATGTAATAAAAATACCCCTTTTCACTTGAGTCCAGTTAACCTTCAAGCGGGCGCGCGGTCTTTTGTAACGGGAGCGGGCGCGCGTAACCGAATAGACCTATGGGATGAATAAGACCAAGAAAGCAATAATTATGGGATAATCATTTATTAATTTGTACTAAGATACAATATCATTGTCTTTAAAGAGAAAATTGTCACAACAAGTAATTAAAATTATGAAAAGAAGCAATTATTAAGTCACCTAAAGTAACTCAAATATTCTTCGGATCAAAATAAAAATTAAGACCCGTTTACATGTGTTAGGTTGGTTTATATACGTAGACCAAAAAATAAATAAAAAGTAAGGATAAAACTCTAAAAACTCATTAATTTTGATTTTATTTTCGTCAGTATTCTAGTAATTTTTCAGATTTTGCTACTTCGTTACTTTATCGCGTCCTGTAAAACAGCTATTTATTTCCGAAAGCTACAAATTATTCTCATCTAAATCCGACAAGGATGATATCACATCAGATAGATGTTCTTCTAAAACTATGTGATGAGAAGTTTCAGAGCCTTGGTTGCTAAGCTCTGATTACTCTCTTCTTCGTCTTCTCTTTGTAATTCCTCGATTACTGTACTTTGCGATAACCATAAACGACTTATTTAAACAAAAAATGCTTTAAAACACCAAAACTCCAAGCTGAATTAGATAATATTGACATGTGTATGTCGCGTTGGGCGTCGCGCGTAACCTATTCGACGACAGGCGCGTGTAGTCTTTTCAACGACTGCGCCAGAGCCTAAACAATTGTAATTTGTGGAGTGTAGAGAGCGCTTCAAGCAACGGAATAGTTTTTATTTTACTCATAAAAAGATAGTGACAGGCTACTAGAAATTAGAAATGCATGTGGCAACTAAAAATAAAAATACGAACGAAAATGTATTAACCGCGGTCGATTCGACTACGCGCGCCCGCTTGAAGGTTAAGTAGCACATAAAAAAGCAATTGTTGAGCCCTTTGAATGAATAGGCAAGTTCGCTGCCTATAAATTTTGTGGTATACTAGTTGGGGCCTGTGACTTTATTTGGGTAAACTTTACATTGGATATCTGTGTCGTTAATCATACCGGTCTGGGTCAATTTCAGAGGCCTTAGTATGATTTTGTTTAACGTTTAAAGTACCTAATCGTACGAGTAGTACGTATACGAGTACGCGTTCGACGCTGTGATTGGTTGCTTCATTGGTGGTGGCCAATCAGAATGCATACTCGTTTCGAATCTTTACTTCGAATACTCGTACTAAGGCCTCTGAGGCCTAAGTACAGCGCTCGGCGTATCGGCGCTCTGATTGGTTGGTTAATTAGCGCTGGCCAATCAGAGCGCCGAACGCGTACTCGTTTCGAATACTTTAAACGTAAAACAAACTCGTACTAAGGCCTCAGGTCGGAAAAAGTATTTTCGGTTGTCGAAAATCAGATATGAAATTGGAATATGGGAATAGGTTCTTCACGTTCTTCACTTCACCGGGTC